GGCTGGCTGAGGCTCAAAGGTAAAGCAAGTCATCTACTACTTACTCTGCATGCCAAAGTAACCTTGGGCAAGACACTTACCCTCAAATTGCTCCAGATGCATTCACTGGAGTCAGCATGTTAGCTAGAAAGCACTAAAAACTGCTGCAGGAACATAATGTGTAGTGAAGCAATGTGAATTCCCAGAGGAAAAAGGCAAATAATCAAATTAGGTAAAACAAATTGACAGGATATGAAGAATTTCTGAGACAAATCGATTGGAGTTTAGCAGGGTTGTTTTTTTGCACAGCAGGAAATGCATTTAAAAACTCAAATGCAGTTATTCTACCATTTGTTTTTTGCATTCTTTAAATCTTACATGTGTTTTTGAGTATTTTGTGTCTGGTGGATTACGTGTGAACTCTTTTGGGACGTAGCCGACACTGCTGTGTATGTACTGTGGGTAACAGAGGATGAACACATGTTGTTAGCAGAAATGTGACCCCCGTGCGATTGCGCACCTCCTCCTCTGCCCTGTCCTTGACCACCACCATCATTGGCCGGCTGCCAGCTGAAGGAGGAAGTGCTGCAGCTGATCTGCTCCAGGAAAGCCAGACCTGCTGCTGCTAACACATTTATATTTTTAAGTTATCTTTGATGAGCTCAGTTCAGTTTTTTTTTAATGTGTCAATTAAAGAGAGAGGAACCGAGGTTGGGTCATGGTCCTGACAGGCGAGGAAATCTTATTATCATCTTAGCGGTTTTCTTTTTTGAGCATGTGACGTAACAACCAGCAGCCCTGCCCTGAAGGAGCCGCTTACTGCAGAGGCAACCAGTTTCTGAAGCTCAAATGAAACCAGGGTGAAATCAACACACACACAAGATCACAATCAACTTGTTAGTTGTTTATTGACTATAACATAAAGTTATTATCTACAAAATACAGTAAAGATATTACAAAATTAATTATAAGCAAGTGAATTAAGGGTTAAGCCCATCTGTGAAAGAAGATGAGTGACTTTAATTGCACCAAAAGCTCTATGAGTTTTCTCAAAGCTCTCCTAAACATCCCACGAAAAGCTGAATTTACATTTTCGAGCCTACAAACTAAATTTGTCTGTGGTGTCAGTGTGAAAGCTGCCGTTTCCCATCATGTTCAGCTGCAGGTGGAGTCTGCAGCTGCTCTGACCGGAGGCGAGTACCTGTGCCTTTGGAGTTTGGTCGGGTTTGATGTTTGTTTCTGCGTGGAGCGAGACGGACGGGCGAAGCAGAAGGTGAGCGTGCTGCTGGAGCTACACTCGTAGCTCCTCTCCTGGTCAAACAGAGAGAAGAAACGTATTGACTTGGACCTGCTGGCTTTATGTTCTGTCATTAATATGTTGTTATGATGGGGCGGAGGATGCTAATATCAAGCGTGGTCTGTGTTTTGTATAATGAGATGAATGTATGAGCAACTGGTGGGAGCCCTGTCTGTATTTATATAATATAATTTGTATAATTTCCACTCACCTCTGCTGTGACGGTGCTCAGGCCATTTTTGACACCCTGGTTCAGGCTGCTTCCCTTCTCATCCTTCTGGACTTTGGTGGCCTCCTCTCTCTGCTTCATGAACCTCTGGTTAACGATCCTGGTCACGCTGTCGTTCCTGTTGAGCGGGGTGGCGGGAGGCCTCGTTGGAACGCGTTCCAGGTTCCTCGTGCTACTTTTAGCTTTCTGCCCTGACCCCGGCACTGGTTTGTCTGCCCGCCCGCTCACCCTACGCAGGAACTCTGTCACCAAGCCGTACCGGTTGGCTCCGGTGGACTTGGCGGGCAGCTTGGAGTTGCTCAGGGAGCCGTGGCTCTGCCCAGCACCTGCTCGGGAGCTGGTTTGTCGAGTCCACACGAGGCCGGACTGATTTTGATGTGCCAGGTTCCACAGAGGTCGATCTCTAGAGGTAGATGCAGAGGAGGGGGAGCTCAGATTGGAGGGAGAGGGGAGAGACTGTCTTCGGTACAGTTTAGGCGAGGAGGTGGAGTGTCTGGACCTCTCCCCTCGGCCTGTTATGCCCTCCAGTGAGGCAGAGATGTGGTGAGAGCGGGCAGAGACCAGAGGGGAGTTCAGGGCCCGAGAAGGACTGCTTCTCGTGGTGCTCAACCCTTGAGTCGCATCTGTCTGCTGACCAACACTCACCATCTGTGGTTTCATATGGGTCTGAGTACCGGAGCAGGATACGTCCACCCATCCCCGGCCTGCTAATCTTTCTCTCTTTTCCTGTGGGCTGTCTTGACGCTTCTGCCTCCAGCCGGCTGTCATTTCCTTCATGTCATCGCTCAGATTGGCAGATGAGCCTAGACAGAGCTGTGAGAAGGAGGTTGGCGGCGTGCACCAGGGAGAGGGCGTGTCCACGGATCCTCTGTCTGGGCTTTGCTTCAGCTGAACCAGCTGGACTCTGCGGGCCGACGGGGGGCTGTAGTAGATGCGGACGGTAGACTTCTCTGGAGCAGTATGGCTTCTGTCCAAGGACATCTGCTCAAAGTCAAGATCAGGGAAGCTAAGCGGCATGATTAGATGGTCCCACGTCTTAACCGGGTCCTCTCGGTCAAGCTGGGCAGCCTCTTGGCTCAGATAGCACCAGTTCTTCCTCTGAGAGCTGCACGGAGGAAACTGCCGTCTGAGTCTTTTTCCTGTCGAACTGCAGGTTCAGATTTTTTTGTAAAAAAAAAACACAAAGACACCAGGCGATGTATGAGTTACAACTTCAGTGAACTTATGAAAAACATATGACAGTTTGTGGAACAACACAGACCTGTCAGCTTCACGGTGTCGACCACATTGAAAAACATCACCAACACGACGCTGAGCCAAGAGAGAAAGAAAATGTCACCAAACATTACGTCAGATACTTCAGATTTAAACTTTCTCCACGCTGAAATCTGTCAATAACTATTTTGTGGACTGCACAACAATGTCGTTGTGCCCCACATTTAGTGTCAACATGAGCTTGATATTTGTTGTTTTTAATGGGCAGTTTACCAGGTAATATTTAAATGTAAATATATATAATATAATAAAATGTGCTCTAAGTGCACAATTTATGCATCTCAGCAATTAGTCATCAGAAACTAAAACCCAAGAAAAAAAATGCATAAACTTGTTGGAAGCAATTTTATGTAGGGACTATTTCTCTTTAGTGTGTTCATCCGCCACTGCGTCACTGTACAGAACAAACAGAGCATCTGACACGATGATTAAAAGAGACAGAAATGTGAAATGGTGAAAGTTGCAGTGGTCCTGATCCTTCTACAAAATAGCCAATCACCACTGTGAGACAAAAGAACCAATCGTGTTGTTTCACAGATGCTTGCACAGTTGAGGTTTACACAGTTTTAGCCTTGTGCTGTCAGTCAGATACACTTAATTACCCCAGTCTACTGACCGGATGTAAGGTGAACTTACCTTTACTTTTGTGGTTGGTGTTGATCGTGTGGCCACTCTCATTATTAAAGCTATATTGTCATCTAATTGAATGTGGTGTAAGAGTGAAACTTGCAAGAAAAAAAAGCTTTTGAAACCTTATTTTAGGGGGGGGAAAAACAGCAAAACATTTAGTATTTTTGAGCTGATTCGTCACTTTTTAACATTCCACTGATGATTGTAATTAATGTAGAGCTTTCTCCACATTTATTTAGATAACATCTAAAAACCACTGCTCACAACAAGGGTCCTGGATATTTATGAGAAACCAGGCCATGATTTCTGCAAAGAAGTGTTGATGCTTTGTTTTGCTGCGATGTGAGCGTCAGTGCTCCAAAACTGGGCAGCTGACGCAAAAAAATCTAAGCTGTCTCCTTTGGGTGAACTGTCGCTTTAAAGCCCGTTGTCTGCAAAATCAATAATGTTTCCGTCGCTTCCCCATTTGTGCTCTTGATAATTTAACACTAACAATTACGTTAGGGTTTAATAATTAATATCACACATCTATAGTTGTTTGGTATTCTGGCACGTCTGTGTTATTAACTAACCAAACCTTCAGAAACATTTGAATTTGCTGTTCGTTATCAGGACAAAGCATCGTAAACTCATAACAGAGATAACCCCAGAGACATATAGGCTCCAATACGTCTTCAATAAAGCCTAATAAAGCTGCTGGAGAGCCTGTGGAGTCTTTATTTTTTTCATTTCACTTCAAACTAAATGTTAAGTAAAAGAGTTAAGAGTAAAATAGGGATTACAGTCCAGTCAGTGGGTTAAGAAGGAAAAAAAGCTGTTGAAATAATAAATCTGATCCTAAATCATGCTGTGCATCGAAACTGCTTTTCTTTATTGAATAACAAAGGAGATGGAAATTATCATTTAGGAGAACTTGAAGGACTGCAGAGAATCGTTTTTGCGTTTTCGTGCTGTATGTTTGAAAATGCCTGTCCTGTTTGGCTGCAGCCCCCTACAAGAGATTAGCCTAAATACTCTGGCATGAGTGTTTTCATGATGCCCGCTGAACCGACTGTCAGGCGGACACAAGGCCAGGGAGACAGATCATCGGCAGGACTTCCCACTGTATCACGCAACCTCACACACAGCCTCACACACAGCAGGGCACACATGCCTGAGGCGTAAACACCATCCTTACCT